CATCAATAAGTTATTATATTTATTTATTTTATGTTTGTTTACTGTGTCCTAGCTTCTTGTTTTGATATACCCAAAAAGGCTGCTCGTATGAGCTAGTTTGATTATTGACACCTTTGAAGCTCTAATGTTCTGTCACCAGGTGGTTAGATCTGTTACTAGGTATGTGAGCTCAGGAGTCTGCCCACTCCTCCTGTATGGATTCAGCTCAGGTGCTGAGGTACATAGCCACTAAGTATGTGGTGTAGGCTCTCACCTACAGTCCTAGACAAGCATGGGTGATTGGTGTAGGCACAGGCATCTGGCTGCAGCAGGGGGACACACTCTGAGCAAGGCAGGGGGCTGACGGCCACCCCCAAGTGTCCAGGAGGAAGGCGTGTCCCTGATCCCTAGAGTGTGTAGGTGGGTGGGTTTTGCAGCCGACTGTGAGCACCCAGTGCTATTGGCTGTAAGGACTGGGGGGCACCTCTTATTCTTGGGCCCCTATCGCAGATGGCTGGGTGGCATGGATGGAGCCACCAGTCCTCAGGCCCCTGATGTGGGTAGGTGAAGACCCTGCTTAATGGGCAGAGCAGTGTCAGATGTCACGAACTGCCACTTCACAGCTGAAACATTTGAAGTTAGGCTTCAGGTATATACCCGGTTGTACTGCGGTAACGAGGGCCAACGCTGTTGAAATGGGCCCACACAAGTCTCTACAGGAGGAAAGGCACTCGGAGTCTGTGGATCCTTTATGCCTGTGCCTAGGCAAAGGACCTGTGCCTACCCTGGCTTCCTGGCTTAGGGGAGCCAGCAGTTTATTTTTTTCCATTTGTTAATTTGTTCACTCTCCAAGGCTGGGAGAATGGCTCTGGGCATGTGATAGATCCTACTTCCGGCCCAGGGGACTTGGCAATTGCTGCAGCTGGCCTGGGACCCAGTGCAGAGCAGGGAGCAGGGAGGTAAATAGAGAGATTTTTCCCTAAGGGGGGTGTTTTTGATCCATGCGGTAGGCCATACACATGTACTTACCTTTCACCTATCTAGGGCTGCTTCTCGCTGGTTCTGGGTGGCCAAGTAGACTCTCTGCAACTGGGTCTCTCCTGGTGCGGAATACGTCTACCGAGCACCGCTGCTTGCCTGCCTCACTGCTCACCCATGAGCTGATCAGGCCTGAAGGTTTCAGGCTCTCGCCGGGTCAGGTCTGGCAACTCCGTGCTGCTTCCGACCGTCTGTCCCTCCCCCTGCCACTCAGTCCTGTTCCTCAACTTTGCTTTAGATGTTCAGGGCTCCTAGATTGTCATATATAATTGATTCACTTGTTTTTTCGGGTGTTTGTTCTAAGCGGGTCCACCAGAAGCGTCTGACTATTCTGCCATCTTGGCCCCACCTCCCCTATGTGGATGTTCAGTTTGTTTCCTAATTTTTTGAGATAAGTTGAACATCTTTATGTATTTTATAAAACTTGCCTTTTTTGAGATACAATTCACATAGCATAAAATTTACCTTTTTAAAGTGTGCAAATTCAGTGGTTTTTAGTGTATTCACAATGTTGTGCAACCATCACCACTGTCTAATTCCAGAATATTTTCATCACCCCAGAAAGAAACCCCATACCCATTAGCAATCTCTTCCCATTCCCCCTCCCTTCTATCTCTATGGATTGCCTGTTTTGGACATTGCATACAAATGGAATCATACTATATATGGTCTTTTGTATCTGACCTTCACTTAGCATAATCTTTTCAAGGTTTATCCATGTTGTAGCATGTATTAGTACTTCATTTCTTTTGTAGTTGAATAATATTCTGTTGTCTGGATATACCACACTTTGTTTATCCATTCATCAGTTGATAGATACTGGTTTGTTCCCACTTTTTGGCTATTACAAATAATGCTGCTATGAATATTTGTGTACAAGTTTTTGTATGAACATATATTTTCAGTTCTCTTGGGTATAAAACATTCTTAATTACTCCCTTAGACTCAGTTATTCAAAGTGGAATTCCTGAGTTAAAAGGATATGCTCAGGCTTTTGATATGTGTTGCCTAATTACCTTCCATAAAGGTTGTACCAATTTAAATGTAAACTCCAACAGCAGTATATGAGTGTCCATTTACTCGTACTGTCTATTAGAAGACAAGGAAATTGTTTTTGAAGCACTCTTTGTATCTATAACTGATACTCGTCCAGTTCTGATTACTTTACCTGTTTAATACATCTTGAAACTTTTCAGTCTTCTTCATCTCCACTGCTGCTCCCTTGGTTCACTCCCCTATCCCCTGTCACGATCAACTGCCATCAAACTGAAAATTCTTTCTCAAACACTCATGCAGGGTGATTTCTAAAAGTCATCTCATCATATTACTTCTCTGCTTGAAATGCCATAGTTTGCTATTGCGTTATGCAAAAAATCCAATGCATAAGACACATTAAAGACCTGTCAGACTATGGCACCTGTGCATCTTTCTAGTTTCATTTCTTGCCATCCATTCCACCTTTTTACCCTTTTGTCTTTCCCCAGACATGCCAAGCTACTTATTCCTTTAATGCGTAATGCTGTCATATTCCTCTGTGCCTTTAAATGTACTGCTGCTCCCTATACCTGGAAAACCTTTCTCCTACTAGGTAATCCCCACTTTTTCTTTAAAAATATCTTCCCCATACTCTGTGTTCTTTTTCTGAAGTCTCGCAGCTTCCAGCCCTAATCTATAGCATTTACCTGGATTATAGTTGCTCTTTTATTTGCCTTTATCTTCCATTAGACTGAACTCCTTGAGGCTTGAGACTACGTCTTATCCTTCCTTTTCTGTAGTACCTGGACAGGCATAGGACATAATAGGTACTTAAACCAAAGCCAAACCTATTGCTGTCAAGTTGATTCCGACTCATAGGGACCCTACAGGACAGGGTAGAATTGCCCCCATAGGGTTTCCAAGGAGCGGCTGGTGGCCGACCTTTTGATTAGCAGCCAAACGCTTAACACTGTGTCAGCAGGGCCCTAGTAGGCACTTAGGAAATGTTTAATAAATGAGTAGAAGCTGGTGTCTTGGAGGGATGCCTGTGTGGACAAGATCTTCCTTGAGCCAGGCTTCAGAGTCATCAAGTTATTACTTCCCACCTGGCAGGACAGGCACTAATGAGATCTATGGCACCTTTTTTAGGGAACAGACTGCTTTGTGTGTATCCATCCTGGAGAGATTGCTGCAAGCTATGGAGCCAGTTCACATGGCCCGGAACCTCCAAGTTGACCTGCAGAGAGGACTGACTCACCCTGATGACTCTGTAAAGATCCTCACTTTGTCCCAGGTGTGAAATTTTAATAGCACATGTAAGAAGGGGACCTACACTTAGTGACCTCTTGTTGTGGGCCAGACTGTGGGTTGGGTGCCAAAAACAGAGAGATGAAGAAAACACAATTCCTGTCTGTCCCCAAGGGAGCTCCTTAGCCTAGTAAAGGAGACAGACGTATACATAGATAGCTAACTAGAACCAGGGGGATATGAGCTAAAGTAAGAAGTTCCATAAGTATCACCTGAATCATACATTTACCAAATACTGACTGAGCTCCGTTTACATGCCAGGCATTGTGCCATATGCTGTTGGAACTACCAAGTCTATTTCTTTCCCTCAAGTTGCTCCTAGTTGAGAGGAAAAGATAGATTCGCATGTGTTCAAACAGCTACTCTGCCGTGTTAGGTCCTATTATAGTGACATGAACCAAATACTACCTTAAAGGGCACTAAACCAATGAATTAAAATGGTAACTTTTATCTTGGTAACCAAAACATCCTACTATTTGAGTGAAAATCTGCTACTGAGGGTTATCTTGCTGAATTGTTAGAAGCTGAGAAGTTAGTTACCCAGTAAATACTCAACCACTGCTTTTCCTGTTCTCCTCTGACATGTTTATTCAACAAAAAGGGGGAAAGTATTGATTTATTCATTTAACACTTATGTGCCAGGCAGTGTAGGAGGTGCTTTACCTGTTTAGTCTCATTTAGCATAATCAAGTATTGTATTCCTGTTTTACAGATGAGAAAGCAGACTCGAACAAATTATTTAATTTGCCCAAAGTTGGTGCAGTGAAAATTGACAGAACTAGGGATTATACCTAGCTTGTATTGTTTTCACTTACTGAGCTGTCTTAGCACTTTAGTCACCGTTTCTGTATGTTTTTTACTTTTTCCTTTAAAGATGTGATTACACCACATGCATGGTTTGACTTTAAGGAATCTGGATCATTCTGAATTTTTAATGACTTACCTTATAGCACTAATCAGTAACTCATAGAATACTTGCACATTAAGGAAATTGGACCATTATGAGTTCTATGCTGTCCTACCTTGGAAGAGCCTTTCTGATTATTTTCTGTTTTGTTTGTTCATTTGTTTCAGGTTGGAAGAATTATTGAAAATTCTGATGCCATTACTGAGATTCTAAATAATTCTGAATTACTAAAACAAATCATTTATTGTATTGGTGGAGAAAATCTATCTATAGCTAAAGCGGTGAGTCTGCTGGAACCATCAACTTAAACATGCAGAAACCTTTGTGTCCTAAGAGACAAAGAAAGGCTTCCTGAATGTAGAGGTAGAGGTCTAGAATGGTTTATTTGTGTAATTGAATTTGCAGCCTCATACAGATGGTATCATTGATGGTCTTGTCAAGTAAACATTAATAAACCCCTTCTATTTTCTAGGATACACATACCCACATTATCATAGGGCTTACACTGACTTGCTTGATAAGGAGCAAAAATTATATAAACTATTTTCTATTGGGAATACTGTGTATTTTTCTAATTATAAATAATAATAGCTAACAGTGACTAAAGAGATATTTTCTTTCCTTATAAGGCTATCAGATCCCTATCAAGAGTATCATTAACCCAAGCTGGACTGGAGGCTTTATTTGAAAGCAATCTGCTGGATGATTTGAAAAGCGTAATGAAAACAAATGACGTTGTAAGATACAGAGTATATGAGGTAAGGTTACACCACACTGTCTGATACCTTGGAGCCATGGTGACACAGTGGTTAAGAGCTCAGCTGCTAACCAAAAGGTCAGCAGTTCGAATCCACCAGCCACTCCTTGGAAACCCTACGGGGCAGTTTTACTCTGTCCTATAGGGTCACTATGAGTTGGAATTGACTCAACGGCAGAGGGTTTGGTTTTTGTTTGGTCTGATACCTTATGATTCAGAATGCAGTAAGGGCTTGCATTGGAAGGCAGGATGGTTCATTTGAATGCATTTATTGAGTGCATAATCTGTGTTAGGATCCATACTAGGTGCCGGAGGTATAGGAGTAAACACCCAGCATAATATGTAACATAGATAAAAAATTTTTTACAGTACGGTGTAAGTGCTATGATAGAGGAGATACCATTGGAACCAGACTTTGAAAAAATTAGTAATAGTAATGGGAAGAAGAAGAAATGGCTCTCATTTTTAACAGCTTTGTACCGAGCACTATGCTAAAAAACCTCACATGTGTTGTCTTTAATTATCACAGCAAACCTTATGTGTTAAAAGTATCATTAACCTCACTGTATGGATGACATAATTGACCCAAGGCCACATAGCTAGTAGGCTGCGTATTCAGAATGAATCCCTCTACATTCTAATTCCGTCCTCATAACACTTTCTCACTTTGCACATCTTCAGACCGAACTATTCTGGTTTTCCTCCTGTGTCTCTGTCAGAGTCTCCTGATTCATTGTCCTCTATTGAATCTTTAATTATTGGTGAACTTCCCATCCCTGCTCTCATCATGCTCTATATCTATTCCATAGACAATTTTATTCGTGATATGATTTCAGTTCCCCCCATATGATGATGACTCTCAAAAGTTCATCTCTAACCCAGATGTCTCTTCTGAACTCAGACCTTCATATCACATGTTGGACATATTCTTGACCCCTCATGCACAAACCAAACTCATGGTCTCCCCTACTCACCTTATACACCTAACAAAAATCATCAGCAACAAACTAGCCCTGTTTCACAGTACTCAATGTTTGACAAGTCAGAGACCTTGAGCTCATTCTTATTTACCCATAAGACTGCTTTTTTTTTTTTTTTTAAATTGTGCTTTAGGTGAAAGTTTACAGCTCAAGTTAGTTTCTCATAAAAACATTTATGACCCTAGTTGCTACCCTATGACAGCACACTCCCCCTTCCCACCCTGAATTTCCTGTGTCCATTCAGCCAGCTCCTGTCCCTTTCTGCCTTCTCATCTCGCCTGTGGACAGGAACTGCCCATTTAGTCTTGTGTATCTACTTGAATGAAGAAGCACACTCTTCAGGAGTATCATTTTATGTGTTATAGTACAGTCTATTCTTTGTCTGAAGAGTTGGCTTCGGGAATGGTTTTAGTTCTGGTTTAACAGAGAGTCCGGGGCCCAAGTCTTCTGCGGTTCTTCCAGTCTCAGTCAGACCGTTAAGTCTGGTGTTTTTACTACAATTTGAGTTCTGCACCCCACTTTTGTCCTGCTCCATCAGGGACTCTCTGTTGTGTTCCCTGTAAGGACGGTCATTGGTGGTAGCCGGGCACCATCTAGTTCTGGTCTCAGGCTGATGGAGTCTGGTTTACATGGCCCATTTAGTCTCTTGGGCTAAATGGTGTCTTTGGTGTTTTTCATTCTCCTGTGCTCCAGGTGGTTGGGACCAATTGATACATCTTAGATGGCTGCTCACTAGCTTTTAAGACCCCAGTCGCCACTCAACAAAGTGGGATGGAGAACATTTTCTTAATAAACTTTGTTATGCCAGTCAACCTAGATGTCCCCTGAAACCATGGTCCCCACCCCTTCCCCTGCTACACTGTCCCTCGAAGTGTGTGGTTGTATTCATGAAACTTCTTAGCTTTTGGTTTAGTCCAGTGGTGCTGACTCCCCTTGTATTGTGTGTTGTCCTTCCCTTCAACTAACATAAATCTTGTCTACTCTCCTCTCTCCCTCCCTCCCCACCTTCGTAACCATCAAAGAGTGTTTTCTTCTGTGTTTAAACCTTTTCTTGAGTTGTTACAATAGTGGTCTCACACGATATGCGTCCTTTTGCGATTGACTAATTTCACTCAGCATAGTGCCTTCCAGGTTCATCCATGTTATGAGATATTTCAAGGATTCATCGTTGTTCTTTTTGTTGCATAGTATTCCAATGTGTGAATATACCATAATTTGTTTATCCAGTCATTAGTTGATGGGTGCCTAGGTTGTTTTCATCTTTTAACTATTGTGAACAGTGCTGCAATGAACATGGGTGTGCATACATCTATTTCTGTGACGGCTCTTATTTCTCTAGGATATAGTCCAAGGAGTGGGATTGCTGGATCGAATGGTACTTCTATTTCTAGCTTTTTAAGGAAGCTCCAAATCGATTTCCAAACTGGTTGTTCCATTTTACATTCCCACCAACAGTGTATAAGTGTTCCAGTCTCTCCACAACCTCTCCAGCATTTAGTATTTTGTGTCTTTTGGATTAATGCTAGCCTTGTTGGGGTGAGATGGTATCTCATTGTAGTTTTGATTTGCATTTCTCTAATGGCTAATGATTGTGAGAATTTTCTCATGTATCTCTTAGTTGCCTGAACGTCTTCTTTGGTGAAATTCCTGTTCATGTCCTTTGCCCATTTTTTAATTGGGTTATCTGTCTTTTTGTGGTTGAAGTTTTGCAGTATCTTGTAGGTTTTAGAGATGAGACCCTGATTGGATATGTCGTAGCCAAAATTTTTTTCCAGTCTGTAGGTTGTCTTTTTACTCTTTTGGTGGTCTTTTGATGAGCATAAGTGTTTGAATTTTAGGAGTTCCCAGTTGTCTAGTTTCTTTTCTGGTGTTCGTGCATTGTTAGTTATGTTTTGTATTCT